AAAAATTGATTGAAGATGCTCTTTCCAATTTTTAGTATGGTCAATTTCTTCTAAATACATTCCAAGACCTTTTGCTTATCCTTGATCCAAATCTCCAATAATGCATTTTCATCCACAATTATGAATATGATAAAATGATGGCATTTGATTAGTTAAGTTTTTAATATATTGAAATAATAATTTAAATATTCGGCAATAAACATTTGTATTAATAAAAACTCTTGCAAATGTAAGAGCTATAAATAATAAAATTAAAATTAAATTTAATAATTAATAAAAACTTTTAATTAAATTAATTAAATACCTTTATTATATTGTTCAGAATAATAATTAACTTCAAACTCTTTAATTTCACCATGAACTCGCTTAAAAGAAAGATCAATTTGAAACCATTCAACCTCTAACCATTTTAAAGCTTGTTCTATAAACATGCAAATTGCTATAATACCACCATTCTCAAAAGTTTCTAAAAATATAAATTTATTTATTAATAAGTTTAATTTTTATTTAGCAATAAATATAAATTAAATAAATATTTACCAATTTCTTGTAGATAACCAGAAAATTCATTATTTCCTTGCCATATATTATAGGTAAGTCCCAAAATACCTTGACCATGAGGATATTTTTTCCTTTGAAATTTGTTAATAAGATATCTTAAATGATCCAAATTATTTAAAGAGCTATGTATTTCAGAAAAAAATTCTTTCCCAAATATTGCTTTTAGCATATTTCCTAAAAAAATTAATTATTAAATTATAAATATTATATTATATAAAAATTAAATATTAATAAAATAATTTACCAGATAAAATTTTTGTTAATGTTATATTTTCATATTCATTAGAAGCATTTTCCAATAAATTATTAAAATTATTTTGGATGCCAATAGGAACTTTTGATGGTGGAGGAGGTTGATGATTGTGAATACCACGGCAAATTAAAATTACAAATGGATATTGAATAAGATCATGTGGAATTAATTTAATAAAATTAACTTCACATTGAAGATGGATAATTTTTCCATGACCACCAATAGAATTATTTTTTCCAAAATGATAAAATTCTAAATTATTAATAAAATAATATTTAATATATTAACTATAAATAAATTTAAATTTAAAGTTAAATATTATACTTACTACATTGTTGTAAACGAGATGATGTAGATAAAACTGTTTTACAAGTTTGTAAAACTTGATTATTAATGCTCTATAAAAATTATTTATTATTAATAATAAAATATAATTTACTAAATTATAATAAATATTTATTATACCTCTTTTCCTTGAAAAAGTTTTTCAAATAGATTAATATTAACTTGATTTGGATTTAATATTTGAAATATATGTTTTTCTGAAGGTTTCCAATTTGAACATCCTACAAATTTTGTAATTGGATCATTCTCAGTTCTTCTACCAAGTTGGCAAACTATAGGATGTCCCAAACACTTTCCATTATTATATGGACAAGTAATACTTTGATTCATAAATGAAATATATTTGCTAAAATATAAAATTATTAATAAAAATTATAAATTTTTAAAAAAAATTTTATAAAAATAATTCTTATGCATAAGTTTGAGCCTCTATTGATGTTTGAGATTCACCTGGCTGATTTATCATAAAAAAATCTTTATTTTCATTAACCTCACAATGTGATACATTTTTAATGCTATTATCTGTATATTCACAAACTTTAACTCCTGTGCATTTGCGAATAACCTTTTTTATATTGCAATTTAAATATGGGCATTTAATTTTATTAGAGCCACCACCTCCTTCCATTGAATATTGTATCTAAAAAAAAAAAAAAAATTAAAATTTAGTATCAAAATAATTTTTAGACAATATACAGTGTAATTATTTTACTTACATCATTAAATGGTGCATTCGGATTAGATGAATTTACATTAAAAATATAAACAACACCTTCATTAGATGTAGCTGGGTATTCAATAGGAGTATTCAATAGGAACAGCAGAGAAACATAGATCTTCAACAGTAAGTTCTTCAGTAAAATAGTTGATAACAGGTGCTTCAGAAAAAATTTCATGCTCATCATTTTTAATTGATAAATTTAAATCCTCATTCTAAATAAAGAAATTGATCAATATCTTTAATAAATTGCATATAACTTTTATTAATATATATCGTAATATTACAACCATTTTTGTAAAAAAAAAACTTTAAAATCATGACTAAATTCGCTTCATTAAAAAAACAACACCAATGATTTCTTATTAATTAAAAAAAACTATTCTAGATAAGTTTAAACCAAAAAAAATTCGTACTACATTCGTCTTACCAGAATGTCAACTCCCAAATCGTCTAATTCAATAACTGGAAATTCAGATTCTGAGGAAGAATCGATTGTTAAATCAATTACACCTTCACAAAAACTCTCGCTCACACTTTCTTTTTTAATCTTATCCATGAAGCTATCGATTGAATTCTAACGTTGTAAATTACTAAGAATTCTTAAATGATGCTTACAAATCTCAAATAAATCAGATTTTAATTTTATAACGTAATAAATATACATACGTAAGTACGTATGTATAATGTAGTACTGATAGTACGATGATCGCAATACGCAAGATCACATGAGTATAATATGACATATACGCTAATAAATTTAACAATACTATACTGATTAACTGATCTATACGCATACTCAATATATATACACTCCAAAATCATCCACGTCTATTTCGTTAATATCATCAAATTCACTATCAAAAATTTTCTTTGAATCAATATTATTTTCGTATGGACTTTCATTTGTAACAAAATTTTATTAAATTTAAAACTTGAATATAAAAATCAAGCAATTAAATAAGCATATAGTTGATAATATATTTTAATATTATTATTTAACATATACATTATGAAAATGTAATTATGTAAGAAACACGAAAAATTTATGACATTACTTTAACTATCAAAAATGGGGTTTTTTGAGTCATTTGTGGTTAAAATTCCATTCTATACCAATATTCAAGAAACTATTTTCGGATTATTAAGAAGATTAAAGTAATTCAGAAGAAATTTGAATATGCGATGTGCGCATATTTTATAGTGTTCATATTTTTCATGTATCGTACATGTTTGCATATTTTTGATAAAAAAGTTAAATAATATCATCCAAGACTGTCTATTTTACTAGCATCATATTAGCATGTTTTTGATAACAAATGAACGCTTTATATTCATCCACTTCAACACCAATTCCGTAATGATAACAATAACCAACTTGATATACACCCTTAGCATTATTCATATTGGCTGATTTTTGATAATAAACGAATGCCTTATGTTTATCCTTTTCAACTCCAATTCCATTTCCATAGCAGTAACCAACTTCATTCATTCCGGCTGCATTACCCATATCAGCAGATTTTTGATAATAAACGAATGCTTTATGTTCATCTTTTTCAACTCCAATTCCTTTTGCGTAACAATATCCAAGATTATACATTCCACTAGCATTATCCATATCAGCAGATTTTTGGTAATAAATAAATGCCTTATGTTTATCCTTCTCGACGCCAATTCCTTTTATGTAGCAATATCCTAGGCTGTTCATTCCTATGGCATGTTCCGCTTCTACTAATTTTCGGTAATAACTCAATGCTATCTTGGCATCTTTTTCAACTCCAATTCCATCTCGATAACAACGGCCGAGGTAATTAATTCCATATGGGTCTTCCATATCTGCTGATTTTTGATAATGAATGAATGCCTTATAACTGTCTTTTTCAATACCAATTCCTTCTTTATAACAAAAGCCGAGATCACACATTCCATTAGAATTTCCCATTTCTGCTGATTTTTGACAGTGAATAAATGCTTGATGATTATTCTTTTTAACCCATTTTCCATGATAATAACAAGATGCAAGAATATGTTGTATGATAGAGCTATTTTGAATAATAGGATTTGTTTGGTTATTTAAGCATAAATTGATTATTTCTTCTGGTTTTTTCCGTTTATTTTTCATATGCTGTTCAATTGAGTAAAAAAATGAACCAATATAATTTTCTTTCTTAATTTCTTTATTGTACAGATCGCATAATTCTTCAATAACTCTATTTAAAAAATCCTTTGAATCATGCGACAATAAATTTGCTTTTTTTGAAGTATTGACGGTTTTATCATTATTAATAGTACATTTTATTGATAATTCCGTAGATAAATCACTGTAAATGACTGGCAAGCTTTTTTCATTAGACATGATAGGACAATATTATAAGGTAAGTGCGTACGTACAATGTATCGGAAATTATGAACAGTAAATTATTAACAATGTTGCACAAATATTGTGATATGCTACACAAGTAGCAAAAGACTATTTTCAAGTGACAAGTATGTTGTGTTAAATTATGTAACACTATTATTTAGTACTTTATATAATTAGGCCTATATTTGTATTACTATCGTATATATTTAATTCTTAATAAATTAGGGTAGCTGCGCGACGCAGTCGCGATAAAACCAGGAACGTGATATAATTACAATATTAGCACTAAGTATGACACTGCAAGTCCCATGCTGTTTTTTTGAAAATTAATATACAGTATTTTTATTTAATTATCATAGCTGATGCTGAGGTCACTGTAAACCTAAGTACGATCACATGAAATTATATTTGGTAGGAATGATGATTTTTTTTATTAATTCGTTTTTAGAAAGTTATGATTTTCATTGTTCAGTGCATTATAAGGTACATATAATACTTACCATTAAAAAAAATGCAATAATCATGACGTTTGTCATGCATGTATACGAGATCGTAGTATAAATAATTATGAATAAGATAGCTGCGCAACATGTGATGCTGCACAGTATGATTACATGTGCAAGTAAAATTCAAAATATACGTATAAGATAGTTGTACATTAAAACCAGGAATAAAAATACCAATAGGATATGTTTAATCACAATCTGATGATATGTATGCGATTTAGTTGCATTCAAATTGCATAATTATGTAATTTGTAAAAGCAATAACATTTTCTAAAAATAAATAAATGAACCAATTTTTCAAAAATCAACTACATGTGATCGTGGGGTCGTCTAAAGCCATGTACCCACGTGACTTTTTGTGTAAATCAACCAACCGGGATCGCGAAATTTTGTTTACACGGATCAGCCCGAAGAAGTTAAAAAATAAAGAAAATGCAAAAATATGAAAAACGACAGTCTAAACCTGTCTTGAAGCATTAACAAAAGATGCCCGGGAGACTAGTTTACTTATAAGTCTACCCTTTCCTTAATCCCCACCCTGACGCTAAACTATTTCTAATTCTGATTTTAATCAAAACTTCGAAAAATCATGTGAGTACATGGCTTTAGCCATCCCCCAAATTTGGTGGTCAATTTAAAGCTACCTGGCTTTAGACGACCTCTTTAAATGGCAAGTCATTGATCGTAATAATGAAGTCATTACGAATTACATCCCGATCAGAATATTACTCCATCAAAGTAAATGATTGGCTTACATGTGCTGCTGCGCGGTACATGTAAGCCAATCATTTACTAAGGAAGAACGAATTTTTGTGATTTTATGATAAGTTTTAAACATGAAATTGTTGTGTTGGGGTCGGTTAGAGTGGGAGTTAATTGATATACAAATATATAAACCTCCTAACTGCTTCAAGAAGATAACCCTGACTCTAACTAAATTTCACTCCGCTTTTAACCTCCCTCTGACATTAGAAGTTTTGTGTTACAAAAACAGTAATGATCATGAGAAAAAAAGTACACCCATCAGCTTTAAGATTTTGCTTTCGTTTTACTTCCCAGAAAAACCATTCCTGGTAAATTTAATTTTTAATTAATGCATCCATTTTAGGGATTAAGTCTAATATAGCTGATGTCCTTTATTTGGTACTTGGGTGTGTTAAATAAGCTAACTAACATGTTAAATCAATTGACACTTATTTGTCATATGCAAATGATTCATAATGCCTTTGTGCTAAATGGAATGTGTCGGCTATACGTATTAGACTGAATCCCAATTACTTCATGAAAATATTTTGGCTATAGTAACCACGATAATTAATCTCGTTTTTATCAAAAATCTTTTATCTTTTTATTTGTAACCAAATTTTATTAAGTTTAAGAAATATTAATTTACACCAGTATGTGAAATACGGGTATAATCTATGAATGCAAAATTAAAAAAAATCAAATCAAATTAAAATTAAGATAGGTTAGAGATTAGGGTTAGGGTTGTTTTTACTAAAATTTTGTAAGAAATTTTTTTTGGCAGAACCCAAAGAGCAAGGTTGGCAATGGTGCCAATGTGAGCTCAGTGGTTATATGAATGGGGCTCAAAAAAACAGTATCCATTGTTTCCGTCAGAACAGTATTGGCTTTATTTGCAGTTCTATTGGGCTCTATTAAATCCATCGCCAACCTTGTCAAAGAGTGGTTCAATTAGCAATTTTGAGTTATAATATGTAACCGTATTCTGTACACTGATGTGCAAATAGAAACTGCTTAAATTTAAATCTTGAGAATAAAAATCAATCAATGATATAACTATATATTTGATACTATCATTTAAAGTATACTTCAAAAAAAAATATAATTAAGTAAAGAAACAAAAAATTAATATCAAAAACAGGTTTTTTGAGATATTTGTGGTTTTATTCTATTTCTATGACAACATTCAAGAAAGCTTGTTTCACTGGCCTCCACAAATTGTCAAGTTTTTGTAAATAAATAAATGCTTTAATCCAAGTTAAAATACATATTGTAAATTAATCATTCATATTTGCAAATATTTATTCATTGCAACTCTAGCCTCACTTTGATAGTAATATCCAAGACGGTTTATTTCACTAACGCCATATTAGAATGTTTTTGATAATAAATGAATGCTTTATATTTATCTTTTTTAACCTCAATTCCATGAAGATAAAAATAACTAACTTGATATATTTCATTAGCATTACTATAGTTGTTAGACGAAACCTTGAGGTTTTGCACTGATAAAAGTCGAAACCAAGTTTTGACTTTCATCAATTAAAATCTCAAATGACAAAATGTCGAAATTGCCGAAAGGTGTCAAAACTGACAAAAGGTGTTGAAATTGCTGAAAGGTGTCGAAACTGACAAAAGGTGTCGAAACTGACAAAAGGTGTCGAAACTGACAAAAGGTGTCGAAACTGATGAAAGGTGTCGAAACTGAAGAAAGATGACTAAAGTATGGTGCTATAATTAGCTAATTATTACAATTATATTTAGGGAATTGCTATTTCCACAATAATAATTTGCTATTTCCACAATTGTTACATGATATTTACTATTTTTAAACAATAATATAATTTTAATATTATAATTCTTTAATTCTAATCCTAACTCTAAAACTAACAAATAAAGCTTTCTTCTAGCTTTAAATAAAGTTGTAAAGGAGACTTTTCTAGT